ACAAGATTTATAGGAACGAGTAAAGTAAAACGGCTGCATAGCAGCAGGAATCGGTGAAATCGTCCTTTGAGTCTCTTCTTCAAATAATTCATATGACATAAATTCATCACAAAAATGGAATTTCAGGAGATTGATAGAAACACAGTTCTACTTCATGGTTATAGGCCTGTATGGTACAGAAGCCATTGCCGCTTATTTTCGATTATTTATGCCTTGGGTTGTAGTCTCCGTTTGATGCAATAAATAGCTCCGGCCAACCCATGCGATTGTGATAATTCAACTAAAATTATCTGGAAACATTACAGCCACGTATCGTTGCATACACTACTCACGACTCTCTTCACATGCATTTGAAATGCCCAGAGTAAGTGAAAGTATCATCAATCAGGTGATTAACTGAACTCACGGATTCCTCAAGCTGTCGCTTGTAGGCCTTCATCTTCATCTGCGTCTTGTCCAACAGGTCCTGCAGCTCAAGAACCATGCGTCTGTCGTCTTCCGCTTGGGTCTGCAGTTCCTTGTATTGGCGTTCGTATTTACGAAGACCGGCCATCGCCTCTTTGCCTCGGCGTTGCTCAGCCTCGAACTCGGTCTCCAGTTCACGAACACGAGCCTATCAAGAGAGGGTATATGATTTTTTGGATTTTAGTTGTAGTATGACTTTCCATTATGACGGAAAAGTTGGTTAAAATGAATTTGTGAATTGGTCTGAGCAGAAAGGAGGCTAGCTCACCTGAAGTTTTTGCACCATTCTTCTGCCCTCGCGAGTGGCAAACGCTTCTGCCTCCTCCAGCTTCACGGTTATCTCGCGGATCTCAATCTCCAATTGCTTACGAAGTGATTCAGCATGCTTGTAGTTCTCCTGTTCTTGCCGTAACTCATCTGCCAGACGGAGAACTTCGGTGTTGAGTCGGTTGGCTCGATCTTCAGCCGCCTGCAATCAAATTGCATGTAATTAATGCAATTAATGCAATCAATTGGATGTAATAAATGAGCAAGCAGCAGCGTGGTTACATTTTACACATGCAATGCCTACCTGTTTGGCGTTTATGGCGTCGTCGAGGTCTGCCTGCATCACGCCGATGTCGCCCTCAAGACGACGTTTATCGTTGCTGATGGTGGTGATTTGGATGGTCAACTCGCTGATACGCGAATGCGCCTCGGTCAGCTCAGATTCTGCGTGCTTTCGGGCGCGTTCGGCGTTCTCCACCAAAGAGCGCATCTCTTCAAGCTCGCCTTGCAACGTGATTCGTTTCCGTTCGCTCACCTAATCGTGGAGAGGGCAGAAATACGGTTGCTAACTTCTGACGACAAAAATCCTGTTGTCATAGTGAAGTGTTTAAATCGGTGCGTGGTGGTGTTGGGAATGTTGTCCCGCCACCCGATCATCCGGTACACAAACTTTATGCGAAAAGCATTGTGCATTACATGTCAATTGGCTATCCTCACTGATTTCTGATGTCTTGTATCACGTTCAGGAATAACTATGAATTCACAAACAATATCCTTTGGGGTCAGCTTTCCATCCAATAATATGGAGGAAATAATTTTACTTCATTCACTACTTTCCAGCACAAAGTCGTATACCATTTAGTCGAAATGCACTTTTAAGAGCCATATACTTCATAATTCGTCTAGCTACTGTGTCGTTTCAACGGTTATGGGTGATGAAAATATAGCTCTTGTTTGGCCGATTTTCAGATTTAAATTGTCTCTTTCTAATCTAGATAATAAGAATTACCATTTAATGATGATAATAATAATAATAATAATAATAATAATAATAATAATAATAATAATAATAATAGGTGATAATGAATTATGATTATCTTTTCAATTTCAAAGTTGTA